ACATTTTGCAATAAAATCGCAATATTGCAAAATAACATTACTGCAATGTTGTTGCAACATTGCTGTATGAGAATTCACTCGATGGCTTCTGATGAGTAACTGGCGAATTTATAGAAAAAAGACAGAAATGTAAAAAAAATCAAAGTTTTTCCCGAATCATCAATATTAAAACGGAATATTATTGTTTTGATGTACGCGCGCGCGCGCGCGCGATTTTAATGACGATAATATTTTAAAGGTAGTACGAGAACGAAGTAACTACGTTTGTCTATTTTTATGATTTTTTCGAAACGAAGCAAAAACAAACATATCTCTGAACAACTTTTTTTCTTAGTTTATCGATTCCCTATACCCTCCCGAAGTTTTCACATTTAAATTCGGGACAATACAATATGCTTTTTCTAGTTTTCAGTACAAATGTTATATAGGTTTACCTGGAAAGATTCTATTAATTTTGCACATTCTTTTTGAGCCGTTTGAGCTTCATTGCACCTTATCAAATCACGTCACTGTTTGACATTGATATTATAGCTAAAGACATCTCAGTCATTAGATTACGACTATTAGTCACGATCACTTGAAAACAATCTATTATCTGTACAGTCGAGAGCGAAACTGTTGTAACAATTTCTTTCTAGTTCTTTCTTGAAGCTCGTAACTCATCTAATTGTCATATTTGAGGATCATAGATTTGCTCGATAATCAGATATAACAGGACGCAAACTGACTGTACGTGGAGTAAATTTTACCCAGTCTACGCGAAAAGCGTGTTGATATATCCGAAAAAATCGTTGCAATATTGACGCTGGAAGAATTGAAGAATCTTATACTTCAAATATAAGACATCCGACGGTACAAGCTAAACGGCAAATCCAGGAAAAATGTAAGTATGAGAGTAATGCAAGAGGACGCAAGAGGACACACTCTCTCTCTCTCTCTCTCCCTTTCTTTTTCCTTCGCTACTTTCATACTCACTTTTTTCTGGACTTTCAGTCTAAGTTATGCCGTTAGATGTCTCTTATATTTGAAGCACAAGACTTTTCCATTTTTCGAGCATCGCTATTGCTACGATTTAACCCGGAATTGCGAATGTATCAATATATTTTCACGTTGCCTCGATGAAATTTACTTTCGCATATTGTTATTTTAAGTCCTGTAATATATTCGGCGATTGCTGCGTAAGTCCGTGAGAAATAATTCTCAAATGTAACAATACATATACTACTACCTTTGTTAGAAGAAAAAAATGTTGAAACTCGTTTCGCTCTTGACTGTACATGTTTATTCTTGAGTAAAAAAAACTGGAAACATAAGGATAATGCATGCTGATTTCTTTACTGCGCGTTTTCATAACGTCAGAACGTTTATGCTTCTTGTTTGAGGCTATTCCAGGGATTATGCTGTAAATATTCCTCTTAGTAAATATTCCTCTTAGTAAAGTGTTGTACTGAAGTTGAAAACTTTATCGGCAGAATACTGACATTTTTTTCTGCAAAGTTTGCATCGCGTCGGTTGTACGGAATTACAAAATGTCTTTATGCGATGAAAGTACGTACAAAAATTAATGAACGTTGCTCAATATGTGTCGAAAATAAAGAAAATTTAAAAGGAATTGTAAAATTGCAAGCTTTTAGTTAGCGTAACATTTGCCTGATCCAAAAGTTCCGCAGCTTGTACATATTGAAAGTGTGGATGCTTCAAGCAGAAAAATTCTACACATACCTAGTTAGGTTTTGCGCTGAATATGAAACAAAACAACACACATTTATGTAAATTCCGTATATACAAGAAATATGAAAAGGATGATTGAGTTAATGACGATCGCTCTGCGTTATCGAGATTTTTTGAGTTTGTTATCGGCCTCAGCATCCCCTTAACTATATCCAGAATTTATCTATTTGATATGACATCAATCGTATACTTGTGCAGCACATTAAATTGGACAGGAAAGTCTTATATTGTTTCGCTCTATCGTTGTAATTTTTATTAAGAAATTGATTAATAAATATAATCGAATAAGCACGTCATTGTTTTTTTTTCTCTAGTGAAAGTGACTACTCTTTCTATCATTTAGGCGAACGTAAATTGAAACTTGATTTGGTTTATTACATATAATTGTAATGTAATGTTATCGATCTTTCGTAATTCGTAGCTTACTATGTTTAACCACATATATTGTGAGCAGAACTGATAACATAAATTTATTGAAACTTCGTCGATGCACATAATGTTTTCGTCATTCCGCGGTTGCAGTCATGATGATATTTTGGACCTTTGCCCCGCATCTGGTTTTCAGTCAACATTGTTGAAATACTGATATCCTCACAGGCCTGCAAACATACATAAAATGGAAATATACATCATATTTCCGAAACTCTTCATATTCTTGGAATCTGTTGTGGTCTTATATGTAATATTTTTAGAGACATTATTTACAGAGTCCGTAAAAAAATGTTTAGGAACAACATAAAAATCGTATGAAAAGAGAATTATAAGTTTAACGGGACTTAAGTGTGACAGTATTATATATACCGTATAAAGCGTGCAAAATATTTTGCCTTGCCATAAATTGTGTAACTTAAATTTATTAGGAAAGGAATCCACATTCTAATAATTATTGATATCTAGTTTACTCAAATTCATAAGATTTGAGAATTTAATGAATCAACATCATTAGTATTATAGTAAATTCGATATTTTCACTTTAAGAATTAAAAGAACTATATAATCTAATATCGTGTATATAAATATTTAACTAAATATTAATTTTGAAAGTATAATGTTACTTATATTAGAAAAAATAAATCTCAAGTATGACCATGTACGCGCTCTCGTACTTTTGCAATAATAACAAAACAACAGAACGCTTTCTTGTCCGATTTAATAAGTACTATTAATAATGAAATTGAAAATAATCTATTATACGATGTACATGGTGCAACTCAGACAGCATAATTTCTTAAAAGATGCTTTAAAGATATCCAAAGAATGTTCTATATTTTTTGGACGTCTTTAAGACATCTTTCAGTAATTTATGCTGTCTGGGAGTATTTGCATTTGAGCAAGAAAGCAATAAAGAGATAAAAGTATCATATGCTTTACTGTACATTTGATTTCAAAAGTTTTGTTTATGTATAAAAGCTTATATTTCTCGTGTAAAATTATTCAGACAATTTTGGCCGCGAATTTTTCTTTTGCTTATTGTTTACAGTAAATCTAATAATTAACGTCGCTCATGTGCGACTACAGTTCACTAAATTGAACAAGAAAATGTTCTATCGTTTTGCTATTGTTGCAATCGTTACTAAGAAATTAATGAATGAATATTTGTGAAGAATATTTGCGGTTAAGCGGTAGGAGGTTATCACGCATAGAAATAACTCGACGAAATATGTTTTAGATTCTTCCTGACATAGAGAGAACGATTTGGTTGAATCAAACAAACATTTCTTTGGAATAATCTAAACAAATTTTAATTGTTCGGACAATGTTTTGTTTGACGTAACAAAAATATTTAGTTGCGGCTTAGTTTCAACGAAATATTTTTGTTGTGACAACCAAAAAATTTCAAGAACTTTGTGAAACGCAAACGCGAATTATTGAGTCTTGTAGCTTAGAACTTCTGTTTGTTAAGATTATATTATCTGTTACAATTAAATATATATTTTGACAGTTAAAGATGTATATCACTACCTGTCAACTCTATTTCTCGTTCGGCCGACATCTTCCTGTACCATCCCAACTCTGACCTTTGAGACACGACGCTCCTGTTTTCGAACGCACGTTGACAATAGACAATAGTCATTCTTTCCTTTCTTTCTGCCCCCACCCCTCTGGCACTAAATATCATTATCACTAATAACTGAATATCATTATCACTAATAGGATACAGACGTAAAATTTCATGTTGCAGCAATACAAAAGAGCAACATGGATTTACAAATTGAATCGAAATTAGATTGAAGTTTGTATTTCCAAAACTTCGTATCTCCTTTTCTGGATTTCTTTCTGTTATTTATTTCAAATTAAAGTGCTATATTCGCGCATCTACCTATCGTTTATTTCACTTTGGCTTGTTATGTTCGTTATACTATCCACTACATCGAGTATCTAGTCGCTCTTTTAACGTGTATTCTTATTTATTAATAGAAGCTATCTTCTCTCTCCCTCGCTCTCTCTCTCTCTCTCTCTCTCTCTCTCTCTCTCTCTCCCTTTTTCTAATAGAAATTTATTTTCCTCAGGTGTAAAACTATTCCGAATACTTATTACATTCTTTGTATTCAGTGTTTGTGATAATGAACACACTGTTGCGTTTTAGTCAAACATTCCCTACATTCCAATATATATTTTTATTAATGTAATTGTGTAAGATATGTTTAGTTTGTTTATATGAATATATACAGAAAAATTATCAGTATCATACATGCATATCTGACGCTGATGTAGTTGATAATATAGTAATAATAAGACGTCATTCTTGAGCACATAAAGTGGGTTAAACTGCACATAAAGTGGGTTAAACAGAAAAGTCTTTACTCATCCCGTAATGATGGTAAAAGTTATTAATAAATCAACTGATGAATATGAGTAAATGAATCGACGAAATGCTGTGAAGCTTATGTGTAGGCACGGCTTAAAAAACATGTCTTGAGTTCTTTCTGTCAAAAGCCGTTGTTATTTCTATCACTTATATGCAAATTAAAATGTCATTCGTCCCGCAGTTCATTATATATACGCGCATAATTTATAATGTTATTTAAATATATACTTATTGTGACCAGATTTAATAACATAATTATGTTGAAACTTCGTTGATATACAGAGTATTTATGTCCTTGCGCGGTTATCGCCCCAATGATGTTTTTCAAAGCGTACTCCCGTATCTGGTTTTCGCTAACATTGCTGGAATGCTGCTCTCTTAAAATGAATCAGTCAAACATCACTGAAAACAGTGAATATACATCGATTTGCAGTTATAAGTACTTATAAAAGAACTATAGTTCTCTCTATTTCTCTCATTGTATTTTTATATATAACATTTAGTATAATTTAAATAAAAATGCATTGCAGACAGGATTAATAACGTGAATTTATTGAAGCTTCGTCGGTGCACAGAATATTTTTGTCATTATATGGCTGCGGCGACGATATTTTGGTATGTTACTGTGCATTCAGTGTTCAGCTGAAATTCTATTGCTGAAATACTGATATCTTCGAACCTGTAAACAAACATAAAATACACATGTTGTATGTTCAGGAGAAATTCGTCGCAAGTTAATGTAATTTTTTACAGAACTCAAAAGAAATCTTTAAGGAAAATAAATCCTGTGTAAAATAAGATTATGTCTAATAAATCTAGCATAACTTAAGATAAATCGGCACCAATATCACTAGTTTTCCCAAGTAGAAATTTAACCAGATTCTGATCAGTAACTGCCCAGGAATTTTTGGTAACTAGCTAGTTTTTAGCCGGTTTTCTTTGCTAGAAACTGATTCATTTGGTCGACGCTCACTTCGTCAAAAACTGGACTGTTTCAGATCAGTTTTTAACTAGATTAAGATTTTGATCAATATCTAACCTGCTCATTAGCAGTTTCTAAGCAGTTTTTTATTAGTTTCTATGTAGTTTTCTACTATTTTATAAGCATTTTTTTATCGGTTTCCGATAAGTATCTAACTTTTTTTCAGTCTTTTAATAGTTATAAATAATTTAACTATATATATATATATATCAAAACAATATAATTTTATTAAAATTAAAATTTATAATTTTTATTTATTTTTTATTTTTTTATCTTTAAAATAATATTTTATTTTGTTTTATTATTTTTCGTTTTTGTCCACTTTGCCTTGTGGAACTACCATACGATCGTTTAGAAACTACAAAACATTTACTTATTATTTTTACTATTTAATTTCTGGCCATAAACTATCTCAAAAAAATTCGTCAGTAATTTCCGATTTTTTGCTGGACAGAAAATGCACAGCATTTCTTTACCATTTTATTTACTACTTTTCTTGCATAGTTTCTGACAAAAAACTACCCAAGAAATATTGAATAGTATTTTCAGAGTTTTTAATGAACAGAAACTGTTCAGTATTTACTTACTATTTTTTCAAGTCTAGTTTCTGATTAGTATTTGGCCATGAAAAATAACCAGTATTTTTTGCCAAGTTTCTAAACAGTAACTTTCTAATTAATCTTAGCCAGTAAAAACTGTCTAGTTACAGGCCAGTAATCAGTTTTTCCCTGAGATGTTTTTACTTAAGTTTTCACAAATGAAAGTAGAATAAATATACTTAAAAAAAGATGCACCTTTTACTTATTATTTATAATTTATATAATATTAATTTAATAACATTAAATATTTATATTATTAATATGTTAATAATCATATTAATAATTCTGATATATTAATAATATTATATATATGTTATTGATTATATTATAATATAACAAAATAATGTTAATAATTATTATTTGTCAGCTTAATTTGTAATATTTTAGGTTCTAAAGCTAATATAAACAACATTAACAGTTTCAGATCAGTTTTTAACTAGATTTTGATCAGTATCTAACCTGTTTATAAGCAGTTTTTTTTTTACTAGTTTTTATATTTACTAGTTTTTAATTTTTGACTATTTTATAAGCATTTTTTTATTTCTGATCAGTATCTATTTTTTTCAGTTTATTAATAGTTATAAATAATTTAACAATATATGTATCGAAACCATAATTCTATTAAAATGAAATTTTGTAATTTTTATTAAAAAATTTCTTTTCATCTTTATTATAATTTTTTATTTTATTTTCGCCAGGAACTATTTCAAAAAAAATTCGTCAGTAATTTCCGATTTTTTGCTGAACAGAAAATGCACATCATTTCCTTACCATTTTTCTTATATAGTTTCTGACAAATAACTGGCTAAAAAATACTGAACAGTATTTTCAGAGTTTTTACTGGGCAGAAACTATCCAATATTTACTTATTATTTTTCTTGCACAGTTTCTGACAAAAAACTATCAAAGAAATACTGAACAGTATTTTCAGAGTTTTTAATGGGCAGAAACTGTTCAGTATTTACTTACTATTTTTTCAAGTTTAGTTTCTGACTAGTAATTGGCCATGAAAAAATAGCCAGTATTTTCTACCAAATTTCAAAACAGTAACTGTCTAATTAATCCTAGCCAGTAAAAACTGTCTAGTTACTGGCCAGTAACCAGTTTTTCCCTGAGATGTTTCACTTGGGATAGTTAATTCATTATACCTTTTTAAAATATCCGAAAGAGAGAGAGAATTATGTAATTAAATATATAATGGTAATTATTACATTAATATTAAGTAAAATATTTACTCTGTTATAATTACACGCAAACTCAGTTTCTGTGGAACTTGTCTTTAAATTGCGTGTTGTGCTTCAAGGACTTTGTGAAACACAAATGCGCATTATTCAATCTTGCCGCTAAAAATTCCTATTTGTCTAAGATTATATTATTTGTTACAATTAAACATATTCTTTGACAGTTAAAGATATATATCATTACCTGTCAACTCTATTTCCCGAACTTGCGACATCGTCCCATCTCGAAGCTTTCACCTGCGGCACACATTTTCGCATTCACGATAGGATAGTCATCTTTCCAATTTTTTCCTCTCCAATTTCCATTTCTCCAATTTCCACTTCTCCAATTTCCTCTTCTCCAATTTCTTCTTCTCCAATTATTTCTTCTCTGGCAAAGGTCCTCTGGCACTAAACTGAGTACCATTAACACTAATAGAATACAGACGTAAAATTTCATGTTGCAGCAATACAAAAAAACAACACGGATTTTATTTATAAATTGAATCGAAATTCGATCGAAGTTTGTGTTTTCAAAACTTCGTATCTCCTTTTCTGGATTTCTTTCTCTTTATTATCTCAAATCAAAGTGCTATATCCGCGTATTCGCGTATCGTATTTATTTCACTTTGGCGCGTTATGTTCTTTATATTATTCACTACACCGAGTGTTTTGCCGCTTTCCTAACGCGTATTTCACATTTATAGCATAGAATTATTGCACCATATGATGCAATTTCCGCATTGTGAATCAAGTAAGATGCAGATTACCATGTAATTGCCGCGACTAAAGATTACACGTGTGAAAAAATGAATAGCAGTGAAGTAAACAGAAGAAATACCGAAACAGAAGAATATCCAGTATATGCGCTGAAAGCATAAAGAAACTGTCTTCTCCTGTGGCTTTTTATACAGTTTGTCTAAAAGATTGTCTAAAAAGTATAAATTTAACGTAACATTGTTACGTTATATTTATACTTTTAACATTGTATAATTTTTAACATTGTATAATTTAACGTATAATTGTTTTAAGAAAACAATTATAAATTATCTGTTAAAACTAATTAGTGTTATTTAGATTCTTATAACAAAATTTTGACAATTTTACAAAACTGCTTTCAATTATAGGCAATGGTAATTGTGCAAATTCCGTAATCTTTATTTACGCGCAGAACACTACTCCACTAACTCACGTTTTTAGTTCACATCAATCTCATTGTAAAAGGCGTTTTAAAAATAAGACTTCGACTAAATCAATGTGAAATGGTCCACTATATCTTGGTAAATACTAGTTGCAGTTTTCAGTTGTGCAAGAAGTGCAATGATATGTATCAGTAAAGTAAAAGGTTATTAAGTAAAAGTGATATAAAAGATATCGTATCTCCTCTTTTTCTCTCTTTCTCTCTCTTCCTAATAAAAATTTATATTCCTCAGGTGTAAAACTATTCCGAATACTTATTTCATTCTTTGTATTCAGAGTTTGTGATAATGAACACGCTATTGCGTTTTAGTGAAACATTCCCTACATTCCAATATGTATTTTTATTAACGTAATTTTGTAAGATATACTTAGTTTGTTTATATGAACATAAAGAAAAATTATCGGTATTATACATGCATATGTGACGCATGGCTGATGTAGTACTTATTATAAGTACTTATTATAAGTACTTATAAGAGAAATATAATTCTCTCTATTTCTCTCATTGTATTTTTATATGTAACATGTAATATAATTTAAATAAAAATGCATTGCAGACAGGACTAATAACGTGAATTTATTAAAGCTTCGTCGGTGCACAAAATATTTTTGTCATTACATAGTTGTGCTGTGGCGACGATATTTTGTTATGTTACTGTGCATTCGGTGTTCAGCTAAAATTCTATTGCTGAAATACTGATGTCTTCGAACCTGTAAACAAACATAAAATACACATGTCGTATGTTCAGCAGAAATTCATCGCAAGTCAATGTAATTTTTTACAGAATTCAAAAGAAATCTTTAAGCAAATAAATCCTGTGTAAAATAAGATTATGTCTAATAAATCTAGCATAACTTAAGATAAATCGGCACCAATATCACTCGCTTTCCCAAGTAGAAATTTAACCAGATTCTGACCAGTGACTGCCCAGGAATTTTTGGTGACTAACTAGTTTTTAGCCAGTTTTCTTGGGTAGAAATTGACTGGTTTGGTCGACGCTCATTTCGTCAAAAACTGGACAGTTGAACTAGACAGTTTCAGACCAGTTTTTGACTAGATTTTGGTCAGTATTTAACCTGTTTATTAGCAGTTTCAAAGCAGTTTTTCACTAGTTTCTATGTAGTTTTTTACTTTTTTATAAGCATTTTTTTATCGGTTTCTGATCAGTATCTAACTATTTTTTTCAGTTTATTAATAGTTATAAATGATTTAACTCTTTTTATCTTAAGAATCCGGAGAAGTACATAATCTAATAGTATATATATATATATATATATATATATATGTATATATATGTATATATATATATATATATATATAACCAAGTAATAATTTTGAAAATATTGTACATTAATTTTAAATAAGGTCACACATAAATTCACACACACAGAAATACAGAATTAGTATGCATGCTTACATACAGAATTAGTTTCTGTAAAAGCTTAC